TGCTGCAACGGTGGCTCACATTATAAAGATATTTGGTCATTAGTCCATATAGTTATTTCACGCATGAGAATTATCATTTTTAATTTGGCACCAGTGAACTAACACCCAGCATGTGTTCAAAACTACCACCTCCAAAGAGCAATAAAGAGAGTTGAGTAAGTTGATTAAGACAATAAAACTATTAAAACGGCTTCAGGGCTAACAAAAATGCTTACATCGACTCATACTGTTTATAATTGCTAGTATTTTTTTTTTCTATTTTTTCTTAATGACAATAATACAAGCTACTAATTCAGGTTGTAAATTTAAATCTACATAAAATAATAATGTAGTTCATAAATTTAAAAAATCACCCATTGAAACTTTAATTATCAAAATATTTCAATGTAAAATGCACCATGATTAGATACTGAGCTAAATATATTCAAGTTACAGGCATTCAGTCTTCATATAAGAATACCAAGAGTATTCGGAAGGCAAATGTAAATGAAATGAAAATGTAATTGGAGAAAAAAAATAGATGTGTTATAAAGGGACAATTTTGCCTCTTTGCTTCAACTTCAGTTATCTAAAACTACACTGTCTTTTGATAGCACTCAGGTATAAAGTGGAATAGGAGTTTTGTGGTAAACAAAATAATTCAAGCTATATAAACAGGTAAACTATTTATTGCAAGAGGAAAATGGCGTTTCTTATTAACATTGTGCATAAAAGTTAATAACGTTTCCACTGACTATTGTTTATTAGTTACATTTGCAAATTTCACTTCTTATGCTTGTTATTTTTATATTTGATAAAGGAAATATTAATATAGCAGAGTTTTTAAGCTTAAATAATCAACTATAAAAATTATATGAAATGTTTGTTCCATATTTAACCCAAATCAATAAAACAATAACAAAACAGAAAGTAAAAGACGCAACTAATATATGTTTTATGGAGATCTTTCTGTCAAAAAACAAAGCATGATAATTTTATTAGATAAATAAACGACAGTTTGCAAAGGAATGACCACTAGAATAATTTGCTTTGCTTTATTTGGTGTTCATCCGAGAGCATGGTTCTCAGCAGTGACTATAAATTAGAATTACCTGTTAACAAGGATATCCAGGAATTGAACTCATCTCTGCAACAAGCAGACCTAATAGACATCTATAGAACTCTCCACCCTAAATCAACAGAATATACATTCTTCTCAGCACCACATCATACTTACTCCAAAATTGACCACGTAATTGGAAGTAAAGCACTCCTCAGCAAATGTACAAGAACAGAAATTATAACAAACTGTCTCTCAGACCACAGTGCAATCAAACTAGAACTCAGGACTAAGAAACTCACTCAAAACTGCTCAACTACATGGAAACTGAACAACCTGCTCCTGAATGACTACTGGGTACATAACGAAATGAAGGCAGAAATAAAGATGTTCTTTGAAACCAATGAGAACAAAGATACAACATACCAGAATCTCTGGGACACATTTAAAGCAGTGTGTAGAGGGAAATTTATAGCACTAAATGCCCACAAGAGAAAGCAGGAAAGATCTAAAATTGACACTCTAACATCGCAATTAAAAGAACTAGAGAAGCAAGAGCAAACACATTCGAAAGCTAGCAGAAGGCAAGAAATAACTAAGATCAGAGCAGAACTGAAGGAGATAGAGACACAAAAAACCCTCCAAAAAATCAATGAATCCAGGAGTTGGTTTTTTGAAAAGATCAACAAAATTGACAGACCACTAGCCAGACTAATAAAGAAGAAAAGAGAGAAGAATCAAATCGACGCAATTAAAAATGATCAAGGGGATATCACCACCGACCCCACAGAAATACAAACTACCATCAGAGAATACTATAAACACCTCTACGCAAATAAACTGGAAAATCTAGAAGAAATGGATAATTTCCTGGACACTTACACTCTTCCAAGACTAAACCAGGAAGAAGTTGAATCCCTGAATAGACCAATAGCAGGCTCTGAAATTGAGGCAACAATTAATAGCCTACCAACCAAAAAAAGTCCAGGACCAGATGGATTCACAGCTGAATTCTACCAGAGGTACAAAGAGGAGTTGGTACCATTCCTTCTGAAACTATTCCAATCAATAGAAAAAGAGGGAATCCTCCCTAACTCATTTTATGAGGCCAACATCATCCTGATACCAAAGCCTGGCAGAGACACAACAAAAAAGAGAATTTTAGACCAATATCCCTGATGAACATCGATGCAAAAATCCTCAATAAAATACTGGCAAACCGGATTCAGCAACACATCAAAAAGCTTATCCACCATGATCAAGTGGGCTTCATCCCTGGGATGCAAGGCTGGTTCAACATTTGCAAATCAATAAACATAATCCAGCATATAAACAGAACCAAAGACAAGAACCACATGATTATCTCAATTGATGCAGAAAAGGCTTTTGACAAAATTCAACAGCCCTTCATGCTAAAAACGCTCAATAAATTCGGTATTGATGGAACGTACCTCAAAATAATAAGAGCTATTTATGACAAACCCACAGCCAATATCATACTGAATGGGCAAAAACTGGAAAAATTCCCTTTGAAAACTGGCACAAGACAGGGATGCCCTCTCTCACCACTCCTATTCAACATAGTGTTGGAAGTTCTGGCTAGGGCAATCAGGCAAGAGAAAGAAATCAAGGGTATTCAGTTAGGAAAAGAAGAAGTCAAATTGTCCCTGTTTGCAGATGACATGATTGTATATTTAGAAAACCCCATTGTCTCAGCCCAAAATCTCCTTAAGCTGATAAGCAACTTCAGCAAAGTCTCAGGATACAAAATTAATGTGCAAAAATCACAAGCATTCTTATACACCAGTAACAGACAAACAGAGAGCCAAATCAGGAATGAACTTCCATTCACAATTGCTTCAAAGAGAATAAAATACCTAGGAATCCAACTTACAAGGGATGTAAAGGACCTCTTCAAGGAGAACTACAAACCACTGCTCAGTGAAATCAAAGAGGACACAAACAAATGGAAGAACATACCATGCTCATGGATAGGAAGAATCAATATTGTGAAAATGGCCATACTGCCCAAGGTAATTTATAGATTCAATGCCATCCCCATCAAGCTACCAATGAGTTTCTTCACAGAATTGGAAAAAACTGCTTTAAAGTTCATATGGAACCAAAAAGAGCCCGCATCTCCAAGACAATCCTAAGTCAAAAGAACAAAGCTGGAGGCATCACGCTACCTGACTTCAAGCTATACTACAAGGCTACAGTAACCAAAACAGCATGGTACTGGTACCAAAACAGAGATATAGACCAATGGAACAGAACAGAGTCCTCAGAAATAATACCACACATCTACAGCCATTTGATCTTTGACAAACCTGAGAGAAACAAGAAATGGGGAAAGGATTCCCTATTTAATAAATGGTGCTGGGAAAATTGGCTAGCCATAAGTAGAAAGCTGAAACTGGATCCTTTCCTTACTCCTTATACGAAAATTAATTCAAGATGGATTAGAGACTTAAATGTTAGACCTAGTACCATAAAAATCCTAGAGGAAAACCTAGGTAGTACCATTCAGGACATAGGCATGGGCAAAGATTTCATGTCTAAAACACCAAAAGCAATGGCAGCAAAAGCCAAAATTGACAAATGGGATCTCATTAAACTAAAGAGCTTCTGCACAGCAAAAGACACTACCATCAGAGTGAACAGGCAACCTACAGAATGGGAGAAAATTTTTGCAATCTACTCATCTGACAAAGGGCTAATATCCAGAACCTACAAAGAACTCAAACAAATTTACAAGAAAAAACAAACAACCCCATCAAAAAGTGGGCAAAGGACATGAACAGACATTTCTCAAAAGAAGACATTCATACAGCCAACAGACACATGAAAAAATGCTCATCATCACTGGCCATCAGAGAAATGCAAATCAAAACCACAATGAGATACCATCTCACACCAGTTAGAATGGCAATCATTAAAAAGTCAGGAAACAACAGGTGCTGGAGAGGATGTGGAGAAATAGGAACACTTTTACACTGTTGGTGGGATTGTAAACTAGTTCAACCATTATGGAAAACAGTATGGCGATTCCTCAAGGATCTAGAACTAGATGTACCGTATGACCCAGCCATCCCATTACTGGGTATATACCCAAAGGATTATAAATTATGCTGCTATAAAGACACATGCACACGTATGTTTATTGCAGCACTATTCACAATAGCAAAGACTTGGAATCAACCCAAATGTCCATCAGTGACAGATTGGATTAAGAAAATGTGGCACATATACACCATGGAATACTATGCAGCCATAAAAAAGGATGAGTTTGAGTCCTTTGTAGGGACTTGGATGCAGCTGGAATCCATCATTCTTAGCAAACTATCACAAGAACACAAAACCAAACACCGCATGTTCTCACTCATAGGTGGGAACTGAACAATGAGATCACTCGGACTCAGGAAGGGGAACATCACACACCGGGGCCTATCATGGGGAGGGGGAGGGGGGAGGGATTGCATGGGAGTTATACCTGATGTAAATGACGAGTTGATGGGTGCAGCACAGCAACATGGCACAAGTATACATATGTAACAAACCTGCACGTTATGCACATGTACCCTACAACTTAAAGTATAATAATAATAAATAAATTAAAAAAAAAAAAAAAAAAGAAACAGCAAACAAAAAAAAACAAAAAAAAACAAAAAACAAAAAAAAAATAAATAAATTAGAATTACCTTGGAAGTACTTTATATCCATGAACACCAATCAAATAAGAACTGATGATGGTGAGAAACAGACATCCATAGTTTTAAACAATACTCAGATGATTATATGTGCAGCCACCAAGGATAATTTCCTATATAGGCTCTTTACCTTGCCATGCTCCTATGATGCCTATATAAACAAATTATATACAATCTTATTTCTATGCAAAAATAAGGTGAAATACATAATTTTAAATGACAATTTTTAAAATTTTTTTGTTTTCCAATTTGTCAAAATTTATTTTGGTAGTTTTTTTAAAGAATGGGAAATCACATGTATTCCGTGGTTCAGCCCCACTTCATATCATTTGAACATTTTGCTGTTTTCAGCAGTAGAACAGTCCCAGGATGATTACATAAATGATATGACCAATTCTTAGTAAAACTAGACATCCTGACGTTCACATTAACAATTTTCAGACGTTCCTCAAGTTGTGAGAGGTCTTTGAAGTGTCTGAGGCGCTGAATGATAGGCCTGTCAACTCGCAGACATGTCAGCTTAACAGGAGAAAAACGGCTTCCATGCACGCAGGTGAGTTGAAGATTTTGTTTCTTTTAGTTATTTAAAGTGCCAGTTTCTCCTGGGTTACTGAGAGCGAATCTAGCTGAGCCTTGGTGAATTCAAAGGCCACACTCAGAAGAGGCCACAGTTTCTGCTGGAATTAAAACTAAAAAGATAAAGTACAGCAATGTAAAGCTTTCGTTTTGAGAACAGGATGGTGGGAAATATTTCTACTTTATAAAATGTAGCATGGTTTGGAAGCAGGCGCGCAGTATGTAGAATATTCCTTGTTCAGATTTTTTTTTAATGTTTTTAGTTATGTACAATGCTCAATTTCTGCAATTAAGGATTACTTCAAATAGGGATTTAGATTTATTGTGAACATTTTATTATTTCCACAAATATAATAGTTTATGTTTGCCTAAGCATGTTTCATAATTGAGATGAAAAGCTTTTTTAAATCTCATAACTAGAATCAATAAGCAAACATAGCTGAAATATAAAACATACGATTTAAAAAGAGAATAAGGAAATGAATTCATCTCTTAAAAGATAGAAAGCATGCTCTATGTTGTAGTAAGTTATGGTTCCCTAATGGAATAAATAAAAAGCAGTCATTGTCCTAAACATTTTTATAGTTTACTTGGAAAAGAAAGATAAATAAGTACATCTAGGACATAACATACTAACAGATGGTAGAGAATTAGAGTATATATTGCTATTCAGAGGCTTTTTTTTGTAAGTTTTAAATATATGTGTAGTCATCTTACATGATTAGTTGCAATAAGTTTTTGTGTACATATTTGCAATTATTTGTCCATCAAAGGACTGGCAATAAAGTAAAGAATGACACAGCCATGATGATGCTTTTTAAAAATTTGTGGTAGTTAATATGTATGTTCTCAGTGCTGAAAATAGAATAGATTGTATTAGGCTCTAGTCTTTAACAGAGCAGATTGTAGTAGGTTATAAAAATAAGTGCAAGTACTATAGAGCGATCTTAGAAAATGAGTAAAATAAGTCAAGTAGTTCATAGCATGATTGTTGATGCTATGATGGAAATATAAATTTTATTCAGGTAAAGTATCTCACATTTCATTAGTAATTAAAATATTTGAACAGATTTGTTTTTAGTGTTTTAACTTACCAACCCGACATTGTTACCTGTCCCATCTCCTAGACAAAAGCAAACAAGCCAAAAATATGCAGTTGGCTTATTTTTGAATAAATAAATACTAAATGTGTTAATTTGGCTCCATAATTCTCTTTTCTAACAAGTTAGTATGATCCATGAAATTGCTATAATGAAGTCAAAAGTTCAGGTTTTTTTGTTCTGTTTTGTTTTGTTTTGTTTTTACCATATGATGAAAGTCCTTTGGGTTGAAGATGGTATGTTTAACTTTGTTTTAAGGCCACAATAGCGTCTTCATTGAGTGGGTCTTCATATTTGACAATTCAAGCAGAGTCATTCTCAAGTTTTGGTTGTGTACGCGTGGCTGAAGAAACCCAATTATATCCAGCCACTGGAGTGAGAAAAGCATTAGATGCATGAACCTGAAGAGCAGAGCAAGTTTTTCCCCAACACTTGTATTTATGTTTCTTGCTATAAAAATTAAGTCTCTCAAAGACAAAATTATTATTCCTAGTTATGGACATGTTGCTAAAAGCTTCCAGGCGGATGGTGGGGAAAAATGAAGGTGAGGACTCACACATTTGGAGGATAATAAACATTACAATTTGCAGTCTAGTTTGTCTCATTACACATTCAAATGTCTATTTGACCTTTGAAAATCTCTGCCTGCAAACATATTGACATAAACATCCTCAATTTATGTAAATACTGGCCTACTAATTTTGCACAGCTTTATTATTGGTCTTGGCTCTATTCTTGAGATCGGTGCAGCACAATCTTTCTTCACTACCACCACCCCTCAATCATTTGAAGACTTTGTATGTATTATCAAGCTCTGTGAAATTATAAGCAAATCCAAGTTTAATGTTATAAAAAAACACAAATTTTTTTTATTTTTAAGAGTACATTATTCACAATTTTGAGACTGACCGAAAGGTTTTTATAAAGCTGTTAGTTTACATCTTCTAATTTGGAAGCAAACAATATATTTTAAATAATTGTACGTAGATTTGTTCACTCAATCAAAAATATTTATTGAGAAAGTATTATATGACACTGTCTTTAGGACTAAAGATACAAATCCCTAGTGTAATAGGTGTCGCGAAGCAAACACATTATTATTCTAGAGAAATATATCATCAAAAACTCTCCGTGGACCATCTGCTTCAGAATCTTCTGATAAGATAATTTTAAAATAATGTTTTCTGAGTCCCACTTGAGATCAAACAAATGCAATTATCTGTCTATGAATCCTGATAATATGCATTTTAGCAAATTCCTGAGGTACTGTATTGAAAAAAGAACAAAAATGTTGTTTTGGTTCTAAATCTGTGTGGTTTTGGACATTAGGATTTTATTATCCTAGTTCTATAGTAAAATTTGAGGTGCTGAAGCAATAGAAGAAATACAGTAACCAATTTCTTCAATCAATCTGTAAATGGTATTTAGATGATCTAATTTAGATGGTCTAATGGTCAGTCCCTGGCTGTGTTTAAAGGTTCATTTATATACTTCTATCTCAGTCTCCACCGACAAAATACCAACCCCAGCATTTGATCGTATTTTCTTCCTTGGGTATTATTTCCAACAGAAGGAATCTAGACTTCACTCAGGTTTCTTCTGCGATTATTAATGGAGGTACATTTTGCAGATGAGTGAATTTACTCCTAGCAATCAAGCTTAGATTGATCCATTTATAGTTAATTATAAAACCCTAGGTAGAATAATGGTTTTTTCATTGTGTTTTATTTATATAACTCTAACAATCAAAAAATTGGAAGCTATTAGATATTTGCTAAAAGTTAATATTAATCGAAACAAGTTAATTAATTAAAATTAATATTAATCCAAACAAGTTATTTTTCTATAGTTGTAGGATAAATTGAAAGTTATATGGGTTTTTATGTTCCTCAATGAGATGAAATGACATTTTAATGGACAGGGGTAAAAATATCCCAATATAATGTTCTTAGCATAGAGTTAGACAAAATGAACAATGTGTGCTCTAAATATTTACCAGACAATTAGCATTTTCTAAGCAATTTTCCTGCTTGAAGAAAACTATTTTTAATTAAAATTGTGGCTCATGAGAAAAGTGTAGTCAGGGAATAAAGTGTGTGTGCATGTGTGTAGATGTGTGTGTGTGGAGAGAGAAAGAATACGCTTTTTGAAAACTGTAAACAATTTAACACAGCAATGTATTGTGTTAGACACTAAAGGCCAATAAATGCTATTAGAATATATTTTGAGGCATATTTCTTTAGAGGTAAGGAGTTCAGAATCAAGACAAATACACATTTATTTTTACTGAAAATTAAATTTGTTTTAAACTTGTTGAGTAATGTAATTGAAGTCATTCAATTCAATGACTTAAAGGCTTCACTGATACACCATGAAAGATGAGAAGAGGAAAGCAACTCATAAAGATCACCTAAATATCATTTACAGATTGATTGTAATCAATTACCAGTGCCTTCAGAGACTTCATGCTCATATACATATGGACTCGGCTGGCATATGGCTGCTAAATGGTACAGTAACACAAATACAACATTTATGTGCTTTGTAACATAACCCGTCAACTGCCAACATCCATAACTAACCTGACTAATATCTAGGTATTTATTAATTTCAGGTTCTTCTTTATTTTTCTGTTTTATTATTCTATCTCTATGCCTATGGATATATTCAAACAAGTCATTGTGTAGCAGGCAAAACTGTTAAAGCAATTTCTTTCCTAAACAATTATCTTTTCCTAAATGAATTCAGTCCAAAAAATAATTTCTTGACAAAGCATTTTCTTCTTCATCTGGAGAAGAGTTAAAGAAAATAAAGAACAGATCAAAAGAAAATTATATTAATACTCTTTGAATATTTATTGACATTATTGGTTTGATAATTGTATATAATTACTTCCTACTTTACAATTTCTATACTTCGAAGCCACACCAATTAAGCATTTTACAGGTTCATGCCTTAAAAACATTATTGTGTAGAAAAGTTAATTTCCCAAGGTAAAGGAATGAATGCAAAGAAAAGTAAACTTTCTCAGACAATTTTGCAAAGCTAACAGCTTTATGAGCCTGACATATATAAATAATTATAATAATAATTGCAATGGTAATAAAGGTAGCTAACACTTATTCATCTGTTTCAGATATATAAATTTCATATTTAAAAACTAAATCTCAAGATAGATACTATTATCATACCTTTTACATAACATAAACTAAGGCACAGAGAAGTGACGGTACTTACACAAAGTCACACAGCCAGTAATTTGTAAGATTATAATTCAAAACCAAGCTGTCTGGCTCCTTCATAAGGTTTCAAATGTTGGATCAATTGCAAGTTGTCAGAACAGAGCTCTGGGAAAAAATGAAATAAAATACAGTAAAATTAAACTTAAAAGTTCTAAGGCTTAGTTAGTTCTTGGTAAACAGCAAAAACTTGGAATTTCTTTGAGGTTTAGGGCAAAAATGGCACAGTGATTTATCATGAACGATCATTTTATGATTTATCAGCTGGCAAATTGATTAAGTTCTCTTTTAATTTAAATAAAAAATGTAAACATCTGAGTTACTAAAGGATTTATTACTCCGTAATGAGGCTCTTTGACTTCCTGAGATCAATACCAATATTTAGAACCCTCCATTTGATTGGTACCGTGAAGTGCTGTTTTGCTTAGAAACGATGACCCTAGGAATGGTGGCAGAAAAACAGTCATAAAAGAAGTGGGAAAGAAGCAGCCAATGGCATGAGTGTATTTGGGAAGATAAAAATGGAAGAAAGAGTATTCGAGGAAGTTAAGGATCTGGAAATTGATGTTATTAAAGCTATTCCTGTTTCCATATTTATCCTTTGGAAAGTCTTCATAAAACCCTTTCCAGGTAGAGAGAGTACAAACAAGTAGTCCAATATGAAAGATATTCAACGAAAGTTCCATTTTCATGTGACTTCTCTGTATGTGCTAGAAGAAGTCTGTAATCCTGGTAGCCAGAAAAGATCCATGTGTACTTGCATCTTTGTTGTGATTTTCCCCATATTTACCATGCATATGTATTTTTGGTTTATAGCTTTCCTAATGTTATGATATAGAAATATTCTACAGCCTCTGCTACCCTTTCTTGCTAACCACGCCAAAGTCATGACAGCAGTGAATTTTTTGCAAGTATTTATGTTCACAAGATCATTTTTTTTTCCCATTTTATAAGGCTTTGTAACAAGCGCAATATACAGTAAAAGGATATATGTACTCTTACATGGGTTTATCAGCTCTGGAGTTAGACGGCCTCAATTTTTTGTTGTTGTTGTTGTTTTTTGTTTTTTTTTTTTGAGAAGGAGTCTCACTCTGTCACCCAGGCTGGAGTGCAGTGGCGCGATCTCGGCTCACTGCAAGCTCCGCCTCCCGGGTTCACACCATTCTCCTGCCTCAGCCTCCTGAGTAGCTGGGACTACAGACGCCAACCACCACGCCCGGCTAATTTTTTGTATTTTTTAGTAGAGACAGGGTTCCACCGTGTTAGCCAGGATGGTCTCGGTCTCCTGACCTCGTGATCCGCCCGCTTCGGCCTCCCAAAGTGCTGGGATTACAGGCCTGAGCCACCAAACCCGGCCGTCGACCTCAATTTTTACCCAGTCTTCACCGCTTACTAAGATGTGGTATCTTGTCATCCCTCTGTGCCAAGGTTTACTCATATGAATAATGGAGACAAACAGAAGTATTCGTCTTTTACGGCTGTTGTGATCATAAAATAAATTATCATGTGTAGAGCAACTGGCATGGTGCCAGGCACATAGTAAGTGATCAGTAAAATGTTAAGAAGCATTGTTGTAATTTAGCTACATGTTATAGCTGTTCAGCTAATTTTCTTCTTCAATTTACAATATCTTATTAAGGATACCATTTATAGAGTACAAATTAACTTGCAGCCACTTGGCCGAGTTTTACATACACCATTTTATTTTAACATCTTAAAAATGTTCTAAAGTATATATTATAATAATTTATTTTTACATAAGAGGCTAAGGAAAATTAAATCATTTGGCTAAATGTACACCTCTGGAAATATGATTAAAATTCAACCCTGTCTGTCCACATTTTAAATACTTAAATAATTCTTATTTCTTTTAACAGACCCTCTACAGAAGAATGGCATTAAAAGCAAAACCAATAAAAAGCCATCTATCTTTGCATGGAACAACTCTAGTGCTTTCACCTAGTATCATAGATTTACTGTGCAGATTCCTCCTCAGGGCTGAGGCCCTCATTTCTCCACTGACTACAAAATGTGACTGTTGATAACCCACAGCTGAATCTCACTTCAATAATTTACCTCAGCACAGAGAAAATGCTTTAGTCGTGGTTCAGGTCTTCAGTCCTCATTCAAATGCCTGGTCAATGAAGAGATACAAAATCTGGCTCTCCTTATTCCAATTTGGGATATCACTGAAGGACGAGCCCAGGTACAGTATTATCATGTGATCTGCTGGGTGCTTGTTGTAACCAAATTGCAGCTCAATTTCTTGTTCTTTCCAATTCTGCTTCCCTCAATCTTTACAGTTACAATATCTCTAACTCTCCCTCATAAACTACCTGCCCTCGAATATATGTCTCAGTGTCTGTTTTTTGAAGAGCCCAAGTTCTAACAGATCTCCTGCTGTTTCTTGACATTATATGTAAAAACCTATAAAAGAAAATATATGTTGCAGAAATTTCCAATAATCTAATTCTGTGATGATTTATCAGAAACATGCTAGTTGTTTTTAAAGATATTTCTACTTCAAGTAAGTTTTAATAATTCTGAATTCAATAATAATTAGATATTATAGATAGGATTTTAAAAAACATTTTTCCTCTGTAAAATCAGTTGATTAATATCTATTAATAGCTTTGGAAAAATGAAAAAAAAAAAAAAAAAAAGCACATCTCTTCCTAAAGTTTTTACTGTATTTCCATGCTCATTTTACAAGTATGAAAAAATTAGAGCTAAAATAGCCTGCTTAAAAAATGTACTCTGGCATAACTTTAGTAAAGGTAGTATTGATTGCTGTTGAAATGAAAAAGACTGTATAAAAATTGATATTTCTCTAATATTTTAGAAAACAGTATTGTGTCATCACATAATTTAGCCTTTTGAAATAATTTGATACAAACTCTGCATTTTATAGATTAAAAAATGAAGCTTAGTTCAAACAACAATTTCATGACAGAAAATGTATAAACATATTTCTATTAATTTTTAAAAATCAGTGATAAATTTTGCTCTTTTATAAATACTTTTTATCATGTGTAGAGAGAAAAATCTAATAGTTTAGGTTATGTAAAAGGGAAACCATGCGCAAAATATTTAAGAAATTTTTATAAATCCAGAAAAAGTCTACAAAAATCGAATATGAACAGAAGAAAGAATCTAAATGTCCATTAAATATTTTAATTCCAGGCCAGCTGCAGTGGTTCACACCTGTAGTTCCAGCACTTTGGGAGGTCAAGGCAGGCAGATCACTTGAGGTCAGGAGTTCGTTACCAGCCTGGCCAAAATGATGAAACCCCATCTCTACTAAAAATACAAAAATTAGTTGGGCATCATGTCACTTACCTGTAACCCCAGCTACTCAGGAGGCTGAGATGAGAGGGTCGCTTGAACCCAGGAGGTGGAGGTTGCAGTAAGCCAAGATCATACCACTACACTCCAGCCTGGATGACAGAGTGAAACTCTTCCTCCAAAACAAAATTAATTCCTTTTGATAATCAGAGAAAACATATTAAAATAATTATATGGTGCTATCACATTAGCATGTATTAAAATTAAATTCAATTGAAGTAAAAAATATTAGAACATGCTACCTTAAAACATGTCACCTTAATACATAAATTATTTTGAGCTGAAGGTAACTGAGAATCAAAAGATACAGGAAACAAACAAACAAACAAACAAAAAACAAAACTCTGGGACCTTCCTTGTCTTACTAAAAGCAGAAACTTCTGGGAAATGAGGACTGCCATAAATCCTGTCTCCAAGGAGGTGCGTGGCCATGAGAAGACAGGAAGCTAGCACTGGAATTAGTCTGCACAAAGGAAGCTTATTAAAATAATCCTCATATTTAATTGTTTTCCACATATATTGGCCTTCCCACAATTTACTAACCCCAGAAGTTAAAACTTCCTTTTCTTTTGTCGAGTCAATTCTCCACAGTTAATCACCTTTGTTAAAATGGTATATATGTTTCTGAGTCAAATACTTCTGTAGGTTTTTTCTTCTTTTAGTGATACTCTCATATATATATAAATGTTAATAAAATAAGACTTTTTTTTTTGAGATGGAGTCTTGCTCTGTCACCTGGCTGGAGTGTAGTGGCATGATCTTGGCTCACTGCAACCTCCATCCCCTGGATTCAAGCGATTCTCCTGCCTCAGCCTCCCAAGTAGCTGGGACTACAGGCGCGCACCACCACACCCAGCTAATTTTTGTATTTTAGTAGAGACTGGGTTTCACCATGTTGTCCAGGATGGCCTTGATCTCTTGACTTTATGATCCACCCACCTCAGCCTCCCAAAGTGCTGGGATGACAGGTGTGAGCCACATAAGACTTTTATGCTATTAATTTACCTTTTATTAATTTATCTTACAAGCCCAGCAACTGAACCTCAGAGTGTAGTAAAGAAAAGACATTTTTTTTTCTCCTCTACACTCCTATTGCATCTGACATGGTTCTAAGAGCTTTATCCTCATTGTTTATTTTTCTGAAAATGTACAGCAAACTAAGGAATGAATATCTTTGTCACAAACATGAGCAAGCTAAAACTCAGGGCAGTTAAGAAATGTAAAAGAAAAACAAAGGTAAAATTTTAAACAAGATTCAATATTATTGAACTTCAAAGTCTATAAATCTTCATTAGGACATATACACAGTTGACTTTTGAAAATCACAAAATTGGATTGCATGGGTCCATTTATACGTGTTGTTTTAATAAATATTTTGAAAATTGTTTTAGAGTATTGCAACAATTTAAAAAACTCACAAACCACGTAGTCTAAAGATACTGAAAAAAATCAGAAAACAGTATGATAGGAATGTATAAAATATATGTAGATACTAGTGTTTTTGTATCATTACCATAAAACATACACACACACATTATAAAAAGTTAAAATTTATCAAAACTTACACACACAAATACTTACAAACTGTCTATCAGGCCATTCACATTTGAAAGAAATGTAAGCAAATATAAAGATGCAGTATTACATCATAACTGTATCAAATTAACTGTAGTACATACTGTACTACTCTAATAACTTTGTAGCCACCTCCTGTTGCTATTACAATGAGCTCAAACGTTGAGAGTATCTGCTTAAAACATCTTGTGGTACTCATCATCTCTGCATGACCATTTTGTCTCTCCAGTAATTTGCCTGCCATAGTAAGAAGTAATTTCTCTTGGTTATTGTGTATTTTTAGCCATGTATAGGGTAAACTTATAAACCTTGAATAAGGTCATGAGGCCCATACAAAGTGTTACTAGTAATGTGGACGCAAAGTCACGACACAACAAAAAAAGTTGAATTGCTTGAGGTGTATCATAGATTGATATCTGCAGCTGGGATAGCATACCATTTCAAGATAAAAGAATCCAGCATGAAGAGTATTATAAAGAAAAAAAAAAAAATTCTGAAGCCGTCACTGCAGGTATACCCCAGGAACAAAAACCTTGCACTTTTAATAAAACACCTTTTTATCTCATATTGGAAATGGAGCTTTTATATGGGTGCAATATTGCTACAAAAAGGACATATCTATAGACTCTAATATGAATTTTTTAAAAGTTGAAGTCATTATAAGATAAAACAAAAGAAATATGAAAAATCTAAGAGTGAAGAATTGAATGTCAGCAAAGGATAGTTTAATACTTTTACAAAGGTGTTTGGTTTTTAAAAAATGTCAAGATAACAGAAGAATCAGCTTCTGCTGACCAAAAAGCAACAGATGGATTTCCAGATGCCACTAAGGAAATCATTGAAGAGAAAGAATATCTGCTTGAACAGGTTTTTAATGAAGTAAGTGATCTATTCTAGGAAAAAAAAAAATGCCACAAAGATTATTTATCTGTAAGGAAGAGAAGTGAGCACCAGGATTTAAAGCAGAAAGGAATAGGCTAAGTATACTGTTTTGTGCAAATGTTGGTGAGTTTATGATTAGGGCAGTTCTTATTTCTAGAACTGATAACCCCCAAGCCTTTAAGGAAAATGATAAACGCAAATTGCCAATCTTTTGTTTGTTTATGTTTCTTGGACAATGAGAATACATTTTCCAGAGTGGTTCCACTGATGCTTTCTTACAGAATTCAGAAGGTACCTTGTCAGCAAAGAACTGCCTTTTAAAATGCTTCTAATATTGGACAACAATCCTGGTCACACACAACTTCATGAGTTCAAAACTGAAGACATCAAAGTGATCTTGCCACCAAACACAATGTCTATAATTCAGCCTCTAAATTGGGGTGTCATAAGGACTTTTAAGGATTACTCCGTGAAAGGGATTGTCAATGATACGAAAGAGAACTCCAATAGAGAGAACATGATAAAAATCTGGAGGGATTACACCATCAAAGATGTCATTATTGTTTTAGAAAAAGCCATGTTGTTCACTGGCCAACTGTATTTGTATGTGTTGGTTGAATTGAAAGATACGACTTTGTGAAAAAGAAAACTTTGGGCCTATGTCTTGTTAATTCACTAGACTGAGACTATGCAATAATTATCTTTATAACTCTAGTACCTTCCATAGCAAAAACAACAAAGCTAAAAATTCAATAACATCCATCACTAAAAGGGGCTGATGTCATATTTTTATACATACAATTTGTAATATTTTGAGAACACATTCTAAATTGTGAAATATTTTTATGTCTAAATTTTGTAATATTTTGAGAACGCTTTCGAAATCACTACCTGGTTCACTATGAATGGCTCAACCTGGTAAAATGTTTGGCTTGCAGAACACATACATAGAAACTGGAATATTGTTCTCCATGATAGTAATTATGAAAATGTATATCACAACTATTAATATATCAATGTAAAAGGCACATTTCTTCACAATATATTTTGACATATCACTATTTTTACCCCAAATAGTTATAAAACAGAGCAAATCAATATTCTATGGTAGTCCTGATACAAGATGGACACAGATCTATCTTTCAAGGAAGCCTCCATCTTAGCCTTAGTGAAAAGTGCTACATGAAAACCAGAGGCATAGAAAGGAGCATTCAGATGAGAAGAAACCAAATCAGCAAAATACCAGGAAACACTCCAGGTAAACATTCTTCGTGCCAGAAGCTAATTATATATAGTGAAGAAAAAAAATTTCTGTAATATCTATCCCCAAATTTGAAAAAATAAATAAATTGAATCTTAGCTGTCAAAAAAAAAAATACTGAATACTAGGTTAATATCTGGAGCAACACCTAGGTCAAAGGATATAATCAATTTTCAACAATCCCAAAGACATCTATATAAATTAATAATTATAATAACGATAAGGAGGCCAGGTGTGGTGGCTCACGCCTCTAATCCCAGCACTTTGGGGGGCCAAGGCGGGTGGATCACAATGTCAAGCATTAGAGACGAGCCTGGCCTACACAGCGAAACCCCGTCTCTACTAAAAATACAAAAATTAGCCAGGCATGGTGGTGGGCACCTGTAGTTAGTCCCAGCTACTTGGGAGGCTGAGGCAGGAGAATCACTTGAACCTGGGAGGTGGAGGTTGCAGTGAGCTGAGATTGTGCCACTGCACTCCAGCCTGGGCAACAGAGCAAGACTCCATCAGAATGCCTTCTCACTTTTTTGTGTGCCTAACACTTGCTGGTAATGATAGTTTTATTATGATAAGTTCATTTAGTCAAGGTTCTTTAAGGAAACTGATTTCATAGAGTAATTAGTTTAAGGAGATTTTAGTAAAATAATTTTTTTAATGTGGGCAAGATTTAAGAAAACCAACAGGGAATTGTCCAGTATAGCAGGGTTAGCAAAAGAGAAGCTGTTACCAAACATGGGAAAGGCAAAAGCAAAGGAGCTATTGGAGAGAGACATAGCCCACAGCAACCCAGGAGAGATGAAATATACATTTCTGAAAACTGCTTTGGGTAAAGAACCAAAATAATACAAACCACGGCTGGTAAGGATACTACTTTCATCCTGGCAAACAGCAGCAGGCCACTTTTTGGAAAGCTTGGGGGAAGATTCACAGTGTACATCAGCTGCCATGTTGTAAGATCTTTTCTCAAAAAGACCCGGTTTGCCCAAGGTCAGGTCAATCCAAAGTTGTGAATTGGTTAATGCCCAGAAACTTACTATGAGGCCATTTATCCTCATAACAGTGAGTTTAGTTAGGTGTCTGCCTACTTAATGTGGATCTCGTTTTGCTGTTATATGTCAAGCAACATATTAGTAACTGATGGTCTGTTTTGTTTCTAGCAATATTGTGATAAATTACCCAAAGCCACAGATACTTGTGTGCACAAAATCTGACCCCCATTTTCTGTGTATGGCTTATTGTAATAATTCCTTCTACCTTATCTCTGGTAGTTAAGATCTGTCACTCACCTCTACTACTTTATTATCCTCATGCCTAGTGAG